GAAATCAAGGCATTCTTCAGCCCAGTCCATCCAGAGGCTCCCGAGGAAAGTTGTGCCTTGCTGCCTCTTGTTCTTTCCTCTTCCAGCTTCTGCAGGCCACTGGCATTCCTTGGATTATGGGCACATCACTCCAATTTCTGCCTTGCTTTCCCTGTCTTCACATCATCATCTTCTGTGTGTGCAAGTCTCCTCCTCATCTCTTATAAGGACACTTACAATGACATTTAGGGCATACCCAGATAATCCAGGATAATCTCCTTTCACAAGATCCTTAATTAATCACAACTGCACCCCCACCCCTTTTTTCCCAACTAAGGCAACATTCACAGTTCCAAGTATTACGATGTAGAGATCTTTTCGGGATTTCTTTTTCTTCCTCCCAGTGAAATTGACTCTGGAGCAACTAAACCCTAAAACAAGGCAGTGATATTATAGACAAAATTCTGGATGGGTTTAGGGAGACTTGCTTACCACTCACCATGCAAATTTCTATTATTTGTAAGCTTCAGTTTCTTTATCTATAGAAAGAATAACATGTGCCTTATCAACTCTGCAAAGTTGTTTGCAGGTGAAATCCTGCATGTGAAAGTGATTTGAAAAATTAAAATTTAGGGTCATTTGGTATTAGTCCATGCCATATCTGAGATGAAATTGAGCACCTTACCGTGATATTGCAGTTCTCATTATTGCAATGAATGAAACTCTTAGGTAAGGAAATACCTCCTGCAGCGTTAGAAGTATTCAGACTGCAGGCAGTGTTAACTCCAGTTTTATCCCAAATGTTTGTGACAGTGTAGCATAAGAGTTTGTGGCATATACTCTGGAGACTTCCTGGGTTTGAAACTCAGGTTTATCACTTCGTGGTGGTACAATCCTGGCCAATTCTGTATCTGATACACTGCATTACCCTGCCCGTACTATATCCAGGGAAAATTTAATGTAAAGAATTGTTAACTCTTAGAAGATGGTTAGTTACTAAAAGAGGCGTCTCAGGGGTACAGAAGTAGCAGGTGCACAGAGGCAGCCACCCTTTTACTGAGGGAGAGGGGATGCTAAAGGAAGGAGGGAGGAGGAGGGCCCCTCACCCCTCCCCATCCCACCCCCAGGTGGGGATTCAGTTGATTTTTTAAGAACACGCAGCCTGCTGGAAGCAAACGACTTTCCAGAAGGCGAGGGCCAGAGCTGGTCTGCAGAAGGAGCTACCTGCAAGATCACTGTGGCCTGAGCATGCAGCTGGAGCTCCACCGAGCTGGCCCCTGAGTTCCCGCAATGAACAGGAACAATGAAGGACCAGATCCTGCACAGGAAGGGGCTTCCCCAGGCTGTGGCCCTGCGGCGTCCCTCTGGTGCCCTCTGTTGACAAGACCTAACGAGCCGCCAGTTCTAGGGTCACAAAGCAGGATGGCTCTGGAGTGGAGAGGCGAGCCATTGAAGACTGACTGGCAGTTCTGTATTCTCTTACACCTTATTTTCTTCACTTGGAAACCGGGATACTAATTGTACCTCTCACATATTGTGAAGAGTGAATGAATTGATGCCTGGAAGTGCTTAGTCCAGGGGCTAACGTGATCTATGTCAGCTCTTCCACTCGGCTCTTATTCATTCCTGATACCAGGCCCATGTGATAAGCTAACATAAAAAGACAAGCAAGACACAGCCTGTGCCCTCATGGAGCTTCATCTCTAGTGCCTTTAAGAAGATTGTCAGATCTGGGTGGGCACAGTGGCTCACACCTGTAATCCCAGCACTTTGGGAGGCCAAGGCAGGTGGATCACCTGAGGTCAGGAGTTCGAGACCAGCCTGGCCAACATGGTGAAATCCCTGTCTCTGCCAAAAATACAAAAGTTGGCCTGGTGCGGTGGTGCATACCTATAGTCGCAGCTACTCAGGAGGCTAAGTCAGGAGAATCACTTGAATTTTGGAGGCAAAAGAGGTTGCAGTGAGCCGAGATCATGCCACTGCATTGCAGCCTGGGTGACAGAGGGAGACTCTGTCTCAAAAAAAAAAAAAAGAGAAAAGATTGTCAGATTTAAGCTGCTTCCTGATTTATTTATTAAGGATTAATATGATCTCAAAGCCTACCACTAGGAATTTTAAGAACTTCTTCCCATAGTATAATAAGTTTTTGTTTTCTTATCTAGCTCTTTTTAGCAGAGAAGTATGAATATCTGTGTTTGATTCTATAAATAGAGAATCAGTGCCAAGTAATGGATTCATTCCTTCAACCGATATCTATTGACTACCTAGGATGAGCCAGGCAGTCTTCTAGGCCTGAGAGGGAGGATTCAGAAGTGAACAACACAAAACACAATATCTGTCCCCTTGGAGTTTAAATTCTACTTGGAAAGCCAGGGGAGATAGACAATAAATACAGTACAAATGTGGGATCAGTGATAAATACTATAAAGAAAAAACTGAGAACAGAGATAGACTTGATTCTTTCCCAACCTTCACTGTAAAGGCATGTGAACCATACTCCATCTTGAATGGAAGCTTGGTAAAATGAGGCTGAGACCTACTGGGCTGCATTCCCTGTGATTCCTAAGTCACAGGATGAGATAGGAGGTTGGCACAAGATACGGGCCATAAAGACCTTCTTGATAAAACAGGTTGCAGTAAAAAGCCGGTCCAAGATGCCCCGAAAGTGACCTCTGGTCCTCCTCACTCCTTCACTCCCTCCAGTGCCATGACAGTTTACAGATGCCCTGGGCAAGGTCAGGAAGTTACCCTATGTAGTCGGAAAAGGGAAGGCTTGAATAAGCCACCCCTTGTTTAGCATATAATTGAGAAATAACCATGAAAATAGGCAACCAGCAGCCCCTGTGGCTGCTCTGTCTACGGAGTAGCCATTATTTCATTCCTTTACTTTCCTGGTAAACTTTCACTTTACTCAACGGACTTCCCTGAATTCTTCCTTGCATGAGAAGCAAGAACCCCCTCTCGGTGTCTGGATGTGGACCCCTTTCTTGTAACATCACTATGGAAAAAGAATGTGTAGCGGTGATGGTGGTAGTGGTGGTGTGTGTGTTTCAGTGGCAGCTCCGTGTCTTTAATTCTCTATCAGTGTGGAAGTCTGAAATTCCAGAATCCCAGAAAACCCTCTGCTGGGAAGTTTTTCCTTTGCACAGAGAGATTTTGGTTGAATTCAAGGGAGATTCTCCTTTTTAAAAATCTTTCCTTTGTATGTCCGGGTACAGTGGCTCACGCCTGTAATCCCAGCACCTTGGGAGGCCAAGGTGGGCAGATCACGAGGTCAAGAAATGGAGACAATCTGGCCAACATGGTGAAACCCAATCTCTACTAAAAATACAAAAAACAGCTGGGCATGGTGGCGCGTGCCTGTAATCCCAGCTATTTGGGAGGCTGACGCAGGTGAATCGCTTGAAACTGGGAGGCAGAGGTTGCAGTGAGCCAAGATCACACCACTGCACTCCAGCCTGGTGACAGAGTGAGACAACGTGTCAATCATCATCATCATCATCATCATCTTTCCTTCATTTTATAAATATGTTCAGTCCTTCAGCGTATTCAGATTCATTATTGGATACCTGGTGGATGATGAAGTCCTCCCCTAATGGACAGTCTTTTTTCTCTCCCAGCTGCCCAACTAAGGCAATTATATCTGATGAGCTGCTAAAACCAATCTTTTTCACCTGTGTGCCGACATCTCCTTCAATCTGAGCAGGGCCTCCATGTTACTTTCTCCTTTTAACTTTGTTTTTCTTTTAAATATGAATATATTTATATCAGGAATGACCAATCTCCAACCTGTGAAGTAAAGGTAGAAGTTTTAGACTAATTTCTTTCATTTAATTCCCCTATTCCAAAGACTTTGGAAACAGGTCTGAAAATTATGGGAACCACAAATTTAAAAAGTGTTAGTTTGATATGTCTGAAATTAATGCCTTAATTTATTCACCACAGAATGTCTTCACACATCGCTGTTTTCTGTAATTTACACCATATATACTGTCTACTCAAGCTAATGTGTGAAGCATAGTTAAATTATACCCAAAAAGGAATATGAAAATTATCTACAAGACGGTGACGGGAAGAGGGTCCAACTAGGAGTAATGGGGCAAAATTTAAATGAGAGAAATTGAAATAGAAGTTTTAGAAAAACTGTCAGGTATTTCAGATGTGCCTAACTGGAATAAGCTCCTCAGAAAAAGACTTCAAGACATTTAGAGTCCTGGAGATGGAATAGACAAAGCTGTAGAAAAAATATATATGTGTGTGTGTATAAATATGTGACAGAGTCTTGCTCTGTCGCCCAGGCTGAAGTGCAGTGCCCAATCTTGGCTCACTGCAACCTCCCTGGTTCAAGTGATTCTCCTGCCTCAGCTTTCCCAGTAGCTGGGACTAGAGGCACCCACCACCATGCCCAGCTAATTTTTGTATGTTTAGTAGAGACGGGGTTTCACCACATTGGCCAGGCTGGTCTCAAACTCCTGACCTCGTGATCCACCCTCCTCGGCCTCCCAAAGTGCTGGGATTACAGGCGTGAGCCACTGCGCCCAGCCTAGAAAATATTTCTGTAGGGAATGTGTAATTGTCCATGTGGCCTCAAAACCAGAGTAGGTAATCAAATAATCTTTTATGTGTCTCATATGTTCAGTTTTCAATCTTTGTTTAATCATGTCAAGGAAGGTTTGGGATAAAGATCAAATGAACAATTCTAGAGAAAAGAGAGACATATTTTGACTGTACGATTTCATTTTGTTCTTTTTCCTGATGCGTAGAGCACGGTGGCAGACTTTCATTATTTTCTTATGGCTAATTTAACGCTGGTGGAGGTTGCCAAACTGTTGACTCAGGAGACCCAAGTCTAATATACATTTCCCTAACTTTGCACTTCAATTTCGGTCTAGAGTCTGCGTGAGAACTGTCATGGCAAGAGGATCTCTATGATTCCGTTCTGTTTTATTTTTAAGAGTAATCATATTATGCTAATTGGTGTTTTTCTTTCTTTCTTTCTTTCTTTTGAGACAGGATCTTGCTATGTCACCCAGGCTGGAGTGCAGTGGGAGAATCTTGGCTCATTGCAATCTCTGTCTCCTAGGCTTAGGTGATCCTCCTGCCTCAGCCTCTGGAGTAGCTGGGGCTACAGGTGTGTACCACTATGCCTGGCTAATTTTTGTATTTTTAGTAGAGACGGGGTTTCACCATGTTGGTCAGGCTGGTCTCGAACTCCTGGCCTCAAGGGATCCACCCACCTCAGCCTCCCAAAGTGCTGGGATTATAGGCGTGAGCCACTGTGCCTAGCCACTAATTAGTATTTTTAAATGTTAGCAATTTGGAGGTTGCATTTATTAATTCACTCTCAATGCCAACTTATGTCCACAGCACTTTGTTCTACGCTCCAGCCCCTGTGGGAAATGAGGGTATCTAAGAGACTGCTTCGGCATTCAGTGAGCGCACAGGTTAGCAGGCTGTTAAGATGAGAAGGACCTGCTGTTTCACATCAGACGCCACATCAAAAACACTAAAAGCAACGTGGAATGGAATTCAGACAGGTCAGTGTTTGCGGGTGGAGAGAGGGAACATGCAGGAAGAGGTCGCCAGGACTGGTGAGTCTAGATTTATTTTCCTCGATGACGTTTAACAAACTTGCTTTAACCCTGCAGTCATATTTCAGTAGCATAGCATTCTTTTCAAACAGAGAGTTGAAGGTTCAAAATACTTTTTGGAATTATTCAGTGAAAACAACAGCAAGCTAGTCCCTCACCTGCTCCTGCCTGAACCTTCGCCCTGAAGCCCCACCCTGCCCCACTTCTCTGAACACACCCCAAATTCATCTCCTTGTTTCTCTGCTCTGATCTCTGAGATGCTCCAAGTTCACTCAGGCTCCATCTCATCATTGACCCAAACTGCTTGTTCGGGGCCCCGTACGATTCAGGCAATGGGGAACGGCTGTGCGCTTCCAGCACCATGGTGACTGCTGTTGAACTGAACTAGCACACTCCTTAGTCTGGACTCACTGCGGGGACCAAACAGCCTCTCATTCTCACACTGTCACCAGTGCAGTGGCGTCATCTCAGCTCACTACAACCTCCACCGCCCAGGTTCAAGTGATTTTCCTGCCTCAATTTCCTGAGTAGCTGGGACTACAGGCACATACCGCCATACCCAGCTTATTTTTGTGTTTTTAGTAGAGACAGGGTTTCACTACACTGGCCAGGCTTGTCTTGAACTCCTGACCTCAAATGATCTGCCCGCTTTGGCTTCCCAAAGTGCTAGGATTATAGGTGTGAGCCACCGTGGCCAGCGAATGTTTTAAAATTGGAAGGAAATCTATATTGCCAAATTGAGAAAACGTAAAGACCATAGATATTACAGTAAAACGAAACTACAATGACTAGGAAAATTTAAAGAGTGATAGCAGTAGGCATCACAAAAGTGCTCAAAACCTCATGTTTTTTTTCTTGAAAAATCTAATACCATTTAAGTAGAAAAGTGAACATTCAAAGTGATAAATACAGTCTAATGTGGCTAACTCACTTTCTTATCTTCAATCCTGATCATTCTTAGAAAAAAAAAGGACTGTCACCCCAATTCTTAGCAGATATTGAAACTACAGCAGTTTAATGCCATATGACTAAATCATTATTTAAAAGCTAAATGGGGCTGAGTATGGTGGCTCACTCCTTTAATCCCAGTACTTTGGGAGGCCAAACCGGGCCGATCACCTAAAGTCAGGAGTTTAAGACCAGCCTGGTCAACACGGTGAAACCCTGTCTCTACTAAAAATACAAAAATTAGCCAGGCAAGGTGGCACCTGTCTGTAATCCCAGCTATCCAGGAGGCTGAGGCAGGAGAATCACTTGAACCTGGGAGGCGCAGGTTACAGTGAGTAGAGATCACGCCATTGCGCTCCAGCCTGGGCAACAAGCAAGACTCCGTCTCAAAAAATAATTAATAACGTACAATAAAATAAAACATTCCTGCAATTATTTAGCTTTGAAATTCCCAACGCCTTTTCCAGGAAATGAGAAGAGACTTTGAACTCATCTATACAAGTAATGCTGACAAGTAAATTTTTGCAGGGTTACAACCTCATCTACTTTTTAAGGACAAGCTGACTTGGTCTCTGGCTATAGTAAAACACTCTCAGATTCTTAAGCATCTTCATGCTTCAGACTGCCTCTGTCTGACCTGCTGTACTTAGAGGCTGACTTTTAAATATTCTGATGTTTTAGGTACATTTTTGTGGGCAACTCAAGAGGCACTATATACCTGAGAATTCTTATTTTAAGCATTAGGTATTCTTGGTTGATATGCTGTCACTGAATGTCATAAATTAGGGTTACCAGATCTAGGGAGGGAATCAAATAGAAACACCCAGTTAAATTTGAATTCCACACAATGAATACTTTTTTAAAAAAGCAGATGTATGTCCTATGCAATATTTGGTTCATGCTTTATACTAGTAAATCATGTGTTCAAATTTAACTGGGTGTCTTGTATTTTATTTGGCAACCCTGTCGTAAATGGGAGTTTCTACTCCTGTAGCTTGCTGCTCACCCTTCATTTCCCAGAACATCACCCAGGGCTCAGAGTTCACAGTGAGGTAGGGCTGGGGAATAGAAGAGAGAATACTTGACACTCATTGCCAGGTCCTTGGCAATTTCCAGGCCTGTGAAATTGGTGCTGAGATGTCAGGTTGAAGGAGGGAGACCCCAGGAATAAGGTAGCCCCAGTGATGAAATAGCTGTCAATTGGACTACATACCCATCCATTTAAATCATGGAAAAATACCAATTTTTCCAGATCTGCAGCAATATATATCAATGAATAGGTGGTTCCTGAACTGTTCATTTGGAGTCAGGCCATGGTGTATTTTTTTTCCTGCTCTGTTGCCGAGGCTGGAGTGCAGTGGTGCAGTCTTGCCTCATTGCAACCTCTGCCTCCCGGTTCAAATGATCCTTTTGCCTCTGCCTCCTGAGTAGTTGGGATTACAAGTACACACCACCGTGCCCAGCTAATTTTTAGATTTTTATATTTTTAATAGAGATGGAGTTTCATCATGTTGGTCAGGCTGATCTTGACCTCCTGAGCTCAAGTGATCTGCCTGCCTCAGCCTTCCAAAGTGCTCGAATTACAGGCATGAGCCACCACTCCAGGCCTAGACTATGGTGTATTTTGTGATATCCTGACTCTAGAGATACAGATGAGGTTACCCATACTACTACTACTATTTAGGGAAATGTAATTCCATAAGATGTTGTTATGACAATATATACATATGTATTATGTATATGTATATGTGGCTAAGGATCACAGGTTTTCCTCCTCCTTGCCTTAAAAAGGAGAATTCTATTGTCACCCATGCCATGTTTCTGGGCCCAGAGTTGTACAGGACTGGGTTAATGTAAGAGGGAGGGAATTAAATGAAGTCAAGGCCAGTTGAGTTGATATAGAAAAGGCAGCAAACTGGTCCAGGAGACAAGAACAGATTCAGAAGATGAGACGGGTAGGACAGAAAGAAGGACACATTGGGGTGTGTTTGGGAAGGGGAACCAGAGAGAGAGGGGTAGAGGGAGGGGTTACGAAAGAATAGGAAGAGAAAGGCCCATGGCTGGGCCCTGTGCCATATCAGAGAGAAGGCAAAGGTGAAATCAGCTTTTCAAGAACTTCTGCTGTGGGTTGAAAGATTCATCCCCCCTTTGGCATTCTTTTGAGAGACTGTGTTTATATTTATCTCAACAACTCTTTTTTCTTTTTGCCATCACATTGATGTTTCCTCTGAATGTGAATGATGCTGGGCTGCTCTTCCGTGCAACCCCCTTCAAACCCTTGACTTAAAGTGAGGAAGGAGGAAAACAGGCTAGCAAGGATTCATTAAGGTCAAACCAAACCAATGTTGGGCAGCAAAACTGTAAAAGTAGTGCCTTATTTATTTCATCATTCGCACATTCCCGAGGAAGAGCTAAAGTAGGGGATATGGTTTGTGTCCTCATCCAAATCTCACCTTGAATTGTAATAATCCCCACAGGTCGAGGGCAGGGCCAGGTGGAGATAATTGAATCATGGGGATGGTTTCCCCCAGACTGTTCTCATGGTAGTAAATAAGTCTCAGGAGATCCAATGGTTTTATAAATGGGAGTTCCCCTGCACATGCTGTCTTGCCTAACTCCAAAATGCCTTTGCTTCTCCTTTGCCTTGCACTATGATTGTGAGGCCTTTCCAGCCACATGGAACTTTGAGTCCATTAAACCTCTTTCCTTTAAAAATTACCCAGTCTCTGGTATGTCTTTATTAGCAGCATGAGAACAGGCTAACACAGTAGGTGTTCCCAACAGGAACATGAATTGAAGTTATCTATTCATGCCTTTATGACGTTATGGACTTTCTCTTTATCTCCTTTCCTCCCTTTCTTTTCATAAAGTTAGATACATGTGTGTTATGGTATGTGGTCATGAGATGAATAAACTTACATTTTCGTCATGCAAAGTAGAATTTACACTCCAAATTAGTGGGGTTTTGTTTCTTCTAAAGGTGTCTCCATGGATGCCGAAGTCTTTGCATCAACACATTGCATTGCATGGCACTTGAGCACTGCATTGTTCAAAAACAGCGCAATCTCCTGTTTTGGAATCACCTTGAGAGTTTATTTCAAATTATTTTTATTATTCTAAGTGATAGAAAAACATTCATTCTTAAAGATGCATTTGATTTTTTGGAAACAGCCAAGGATAATTTGGAACATGGTTTGATGGATAAAATACATAATCATAACAGATAATATTTTAGGATTAAAACAAAATAGAAAGGCGAACGAAACTTTTTTAGGGTTTATAAACTGAAAATAATTGTAAAAATAAGACATTCTAGGTTATTTTTGGGCAATGGATTGAACTGAATAAAGTATAGACTCCTAAACAATTATTTTGAAATAGCCACTTGTTTGGAACTGTGTTTTTTTCTTTGGTTTATTCTTCTTTTGTTCAACAAACGTGCCTTGAGGACCTACTAACTCTCAGACCTTGGTTCTGAGAATACTAAGATAAAAAGACTTAGTTCTTGTCTTCAGAGAATTTCCAATTCCACTGAAAAATAGATATACAAATGCATGATTATAGTGTACGTGTCTTATCTGAAAACCTTTGGTAGGTTTTGGAATCAAAAATTGTTCACATCTTAAGGTAAGATGATGGTTTTCTAGTTACTATGACTGCATAACAATTACCCTAAAACTTAGTGGGGTTTAATAAAACAACAAAAACATTCACTTTTCTCATTAATCTGCATTTTGGGCAGGTCTTGGTGGCACTAGCTTTTCTTCGCTCCATTTGACCAACAGGAGGATTGCTTGCGTGCCCAGGGCAGGGGTCACCTGAAGGTTTACTTGCTGGCATATCCGGTGGTTGGCATTGGCTGGTGGTTGAAACCTTAGCGGAGACTGTGGGTCAGAGCACCTCCACGCAACCTCACGTTGTGGCCTGGGACATGGTGACCGGGTTCCAAGGGCAGGAAGTTCAAGAGAAAAAGAAAGGCAGGCAGAAGTCACCTGACTTTTGAAGACCTAGTGTTGGGAGTCAAGCAGTGTCTATTCCACTGCTTTTTATTCA